CCAGCCAGGGTCAACCCACCACAATATCTTAGTGGGAGACCAACAAAATATGGTACCGCTGCACTTACGAATTTCTCTTTGTAGAGAGGAATTAAAGATTAACACTAGCCATATTTTAGATTAAGCAGACTGTGAGATTTCTACAAATCAGGCTTTTGGATGAAATTCTTTGCCATATCTGATATATATGTAATTTTCTATGTTCCAAATTTGTCTGAATTTAAAAAGCACTTACCAACATTAGCAAGACATTTTAAAGAATCAAATATTTTTGGTAAAAAAATGAAATCGGTTTCTTTGCATAAGTTTCCAAAGAAAAGAAACCTGACATTGTATATTAAAGTAGGAAGAGTTGGGATCATAGTAACTGAATCAACTTGCTATCAGAATATATAAGGGTGGTTGTTGGCTAAAGGCCATGAATTATTTTGTTCTCTCACTTTCATATAATTTCTTATAATTTCATATAATTCTTCATTAAAGAAACTAAGGGAATTTGTGTATTTACAGTAACCTGGTGTACAGACTGATTCTAAGATTCTTATAATTCATCATTAAACTTTCTCATATTTCATTTTTTTTACTTTTCATCAACACCTCATTTCAACATTCTGCTGGTTTTACATGCTGTATTGATTTTTCTCTCAGACTTTCTACCGAATGCAACTATGGATTCAATTATTTAGTGTTGGGTTTTTCTGGTACGGATTTCTTAAGTTTTCAAAAAAAAATTAAAACTAAGGTCATATCCTTATTATTGCAATTGATAGGTTGATGTTAGTTTGAGTGACAGAATATGTAGAGACATTCAGGAAGTCTTTATGACAAACTTTCTTTGAACAATACTCCTATGATTCTGAGAGACTTGGTATCTTAAAGGATGTTTTTATCATGGTCATCAAACAGGATTCCAGTTACAGTGTATATTGAAAAAGAATGAAAATAAACTGCAGCCTTTTCTATGAAAACTTGTAAGAAAAAGCTATATGACTTATGTGGTGATATTATGTATGCCTTTACCTGATCCCTAAAGATACTTCCTTTGAAACTGTTTTTAATATTTCAATCTTCTAAGCCACGTCAGCAGGTGTTATTTTAAAATATTTCTTTTTCTCTAAGTATGAAATCTCTACATATTCTATCACTGGCTAAAATTGTCAGAAACGCCTAAGTGATTTTTAAGCCTAGCCCATTCTCTTTGGCAGAAATAATCTAGATACTGAAGTGCATATAAAGTAGTATTTGATATGTAAGAACTACTGAAGTAGTTCATCTTTATGTAAATGTAACCTTGTTAGTACTGCTAAAGCCAGGGAGAAATATGTTAATTTACTGGCTGTGTATGCTGTATTTCAGTGGCTTTGTTAGCAGTTATTAAAGAATGTAGGTCATCTCATTCACAAAAGTAGCAAAATATGTGCTTGGTCTTTGCCTTTTGAAAGGATGTTTTTGGAAGCCTGGGTGTGATGGTCAGTGCTTGGGGCTTCTCTGCTGTTCATAGCTGTGTCCTGTTGCTCTGAAAAGGGGGTGAGGGAATGGAAATAGTGCCTACACCTGGGGAGCAAGGACAAGCTGCTGGTGATGAGCTCTGGGGCAGGTGGTAGCACTTGTAGAAGCACCAAGACTGAAGGGTAGAGCAGAGATCAGCTGGCTGTGTTTCAGAGAGCATAGGAGGAATTGCCTGCAAACTCACTATTTTTAATTCTGAGTGGCTCCTGGAAAGAAGAACTTGCCTGCAAGGACACAGGGATGAAGTAGTGCTTTTACTTTTTTTCTGTCATGTTTTAAATCTTTATTCAGATAAAATGTGGACTTTTTCAAACTCCTGACTGGCTCAGTGTTCCCTTGCAGTGCGCTTAACTTCAAATACAGTTCTACTTCTGTTGGTTTTGGTGAAGCTTCAGCATGAGCTTCAGGTGTGTATTGTTGGTGGGATTTCTTGGGAAGATTTCATGGGCCTGTAGACACCTGTGTAGGATCTATCAAAATATTTAAATACAGCATACTTAGAGTCTGTAAGTGCTCTGGAGCAGAAATGGGCAGTAAAGTCAAGCCTCTAGACTGAATTCCTTCTTGCAGAGGCAGCCTTTTATGCTAGTATGGAGCTGGATAGTGCTGAGTGGTCCTATTGCTAGTTCTGGTTCACTGTTATTTCTGCTGTTATTTTCACAAAAATACTGGAACAGGCCCTTCTGTATGTGAGAGAAGACATTAATGTAGACTTCTTAAAAAAAATAAATAACTAGGTTTTTCTACTGTGTCTTTGTTGTAGAGTATCAGAACAAAGCTACTCGTTCTGGTTTAGTTAACAAGATAGCTTGTTAAATCACTGCTTGAGCTTTCAGATTTTAGATCCCTGGAGTAAGAGAAAAAAATTGAGGTGGAAAACTTTAAGCAAATTGCACTGATAACTCTGTATCATTGTGTCTGACTTGGAAATCATAGAAATGGATAGGCTGGTCATCAGAAGGCAGGCCTGTTAAAGCATAAGAAATTTAGCCCTAATTATAATGTGTTCCCTTTGGGAGATCAGACAGTTTAACTTCTGTCTCAGCAGCTTGTAAAAACTGAGGTAGCCTGGTGTGGTTAAGCCATGCAACTGTTTATGGCCTTGAAAATTTTGCTGCAAGTTCCTGAAGTTGTGTGCTCTTCTCATTTCAAGAACTCGCCGCATTTCAGATTGTGAAATATTGTTTTATCCAATGTCAATTTGGTTGTTTGAATGTAAAGAGCTATACACTCTTAAGGTACTCCTTCCCCAGATTTCTGCCTGACTAAAAGGGAGAAGGGTTGCTGTCTCAGCTCATATTAATAAAAAGAGGAGCTTTGTAGGCAAGATTACCCTGAGTGTTTGCTGAAAAGAGACTGTGGGGTGTTTATTTGGCTTTGATATACAAGACAGTCTGAAATGGATTCTGTCTGAAAGTCCTCCTTGGGCATTTCAAGACAGATGATAAGAGGCAGGTGGTGTTGGGCTGTTTTGTGGGGGGTTTTGTTCATTTTCTTTTGAACAGAGAGGGCTAGATAGGTAGCAAAATGTGTAGGGTGTGTCCCTGCCATTTTAAATGGAAATTAAAAATACTACTTCAGATTTAGTTTGTCTAGAAGCTCACCTATATGTTTATTTTTTATATAGTGGAATTTCTGCTTTATAGTTGCTTCAGTGAATTATCAGTGGGTTTGAGCCTCTTTGTGGTATAGTTTCTGCATATGCACTCATCTGAGCTAGTTCCTGTGTTATTACTTATTTTTATCCTACTCTAGATTGAACTCTATTAAGGTAGTACCAATGATGATACCATATCTAAGAAGACCTACTTGGAATAAGAGAGAATAGTATGGTTTCCTAACTGAATTTTAGTATTATTCCTCTCAATAATTTTTAAATATAATGTGGTTATTCATGTTAATGGGGGAGAGGTGTTGACAGATATTTTGGGAGGTTTTGCATATCCTTTCTCAATTCAATTCAATTATTGAATAATTACCAGTAAGTCTGGTAATCAGGTTAGATCTTTATTCTAGAACAAGCCTTAAAGATTATTTTTTTTCTAGGAGGAGTCTTTTTTTTTAATGCTTATTGCTTTTGTTATTGAAGACTAAAGGATTCATAGTTATTGAATAACAAATACAGAGAATGTAGTGTGACAATATGGAAGGGGTGAATTATAGAAAGAAATAGGTCAGAAGTTACTAAATATAATGGGGTTTATGTATCATAATCAATATTGGAAGGGCCAGTATTAATTACAGGAAAAATAAACAATCATATTTTATTACTGGTATCTCCTTACCTGCACAAACTTGTCTTCAAATTCTGGGTCATTCCCTGTAGGACTCAAATGAAAGTTATAGCCTGCCTGTGTACTCAACATTTTCTGATCACATCACACTTATTTTCTTATTTACTTCTAACAGCCTTGGGAATTAAACTTCATGTTTCATCAGTAGACCCCGCTGTCCTTTTCTCCTCAGCATGTCAGTCACAGGGTTTCTTTTTACGTTTATATGCTAAGTTTGTCTGCAGATATTTCCAGTTAGTGATCCCAGAATTGTCTTGAACAGAAAGAGTTCAGCTATGGGAAGGCAAACTTTAGTGCAGGGCTGCTGACATCTGAGCAGAGTAAACCAACTCCTGAGCGCTTCTCTGCTGTGGCAGAGCTCCTTTTGGTGCCCAGTGCAGCACAGACTAGGCTAGCACTGCAATACTCAGTGTAATATATCTTTACTATTCAAATCTCTGCAGTCATGCTTCTCTTGTCACACCAAGTGAAGAAACACTTAGTTATGGCTACCTCGAGAGTCATTGGGAATAGATCTTGGCCTCCTGTCCAGAAGCAGGCGATCAAAAAAACATCTCATGGCAGTCAGTGAGAATTTCCCTTGTCTCAAGACTATGTATTTAGTAGGAAGCTAACGTAACTGGTTGCTATCACTTTCTTAATCTATTAGGAATGTTATGCCTTGGCTGATGGAACTGAAGCTGTGTCCTACCTAGCAAGGTACGCAATCTTCATGTAGAGGCTTTAGGTAACAGAGAGCTACTGTAGCCTTTAAACTCATCTTGAATTACTGTTGTAGTAAGACCTTAGATTTATTGGCACCTTGCATCTGTCAACACAGTTCCTGGTTATTACACTGGGTTGTTGTAGCTAAATTGAGAGTTGATAAACACAAATCTTCCTGTCCTTACCCTTCATCCAGAAGTTTTTAGTCGTGACTGAACTTCATAAGTTGTAATACCAGGTTTTCTTCAATTGGATCGTGTTATCATAATCCTTCTATGTTAAAATATCTCTTCTGTAGAAGATAACATAGCAAAACTATGCTGCTTTTACTAAGAGTGAGTTTGTAATAATACTATTTTGAGTAATTTGATTCACCAGCATTCTGAGGATAAAGTTAAAAATACATATGCAACAAATGCACTAAATTTTTTTTCTTTTTTCTTTTAAACAGGCTTCTAAATTTTCTTCTGTTGAGAAGCTGGACAATGTTCTGACTTCATTATTGAAACGCAAAATATCTACTTATGAATTCAGCCCATTCCAAAGTGAAGAGGAGCACCATCAACAAGCTAGTGAGTCACTTCTTATATGCATTGATTTTTTTTTTTTATTACTGATGCTATGGTTATTACTTATAAATGTTACTAAGACAATCATTAAATATTTAAAGCCACTAGTGAAATGAAGAAATCCACAATAAAGACAACATAACCGGGAAAAATGGGGAAAAGAATTCTGTAAATCATTACTTTGTGACTCAGTACTATGTAGTTAAACTTGTCTGGATGTTTGATCAGCTTTGGATTAACTGCAAATTGACAGCTTTACAGCTGAGCAAATTTATACTTATGGAGAAAATGGGCAATAAGAGACATGAGGAGATGTCTGTACATTATATATTTTTTACTAATTGCTCTTCTGCAATCCAATTTAAACTTCACTGTCTCAAAGTTTGGTGACATAGAATCAGAAAGATTTCTCTGGCTGAAGAGAATGGATGGCTTTTAAACTTAGAACAGAACTAAACTTCTCCGTTCACTTTAGTACCTACACACTTAATAGTGTCCATTACTTCTGGCCAAAAGATAATTCTATTCAATTTAATTAAAATTTTTAAAAAGGCATCCCAGTGAGTTAAAATAGGATTTGTCTATAAAGTAGACATACTATATGCACAATTCAGTAGTGTATCAAGAGAATCTACTGTTTAGTACCAAATGGAGGGTCCTGGTTGAATTTGTTAACCACTTATTAAGGATTCAAATTGGTTTGCAATAAGCCAAGATTGTGATTATCGAGCTTGTGTTTTGAAAGCATCATTATGATGTTATTTCAGATGTGTGTTAGACCTCGGGTTTGCTAAGAAATACTTGGGGAAAAATAAAACCAAAAGAATGTGTTTCCCTTCTGAAATACTTAAGAAAAATGTGTTTGAGTTGTTGCCTGACTCCTGTTTTGCATACCTGGGTTATGGTTTTGAGAGAAAATAAGCTCACTATAATCCAGTATAACATACGCTTACTTCTCATAACCAAATATAACAAGTTTTGGAGATAGCTCTACTGTGATCACTACCATACTTCCTTTCCTTTTCAGTAAGGTTTCTTTGATGATGGAATTCACCCCTCTGTACTAGATAAACGTGATTCCAGTTGTATTCTAAAAATGAGCTTAAATGTCAGTCTAGGTTAGTGCAAGCAAACAAGTAGGGTGTTTAGTGAGGCACCTGTCCTTGACATTTTCCTGTGCAAGACTGCAGGATGGAGGTGTACAGGACACTTTAATCAGTCATTCCCAATGTGAAAATCTGAGTTTTGATGAACAAAAGATTTCCTGCTTCTCTAGTAACCAGGTAGATCTGGGCACATTTTTGAATATTGAGAATCCTTACCAACCTGCAATCTCTCCTCAAAAGTCTGGTGCGGTTCAAAAGTGAGTTGAGCTTAAGCCAAGTAGTGACCTTCTTAAAATGTACTAGTTTGATGTACGGCACAACAAGAAAGTACAAAGTTAGACACCTAGATTCTTCATGAAAGAAAGATGTGGTTGCAGAGCTGGAAGCACTCAGAATGTGTGAGGCCTAGGCTCTGATGCCCCTTCTGCCTGAAAGGTATGTAAACCCATGTCTTTGACTCCCTATAAGAGCATTCCAAACAGACATTAGACATATCAGGTAGGATATGCATCATCTTGTTCAGCCACTTCTATAGCATTTTATTCCAAGCACCATTTTTTCTTCCAAAGAGAAAAAGCCAAAGAATGAAAACTAATAAAATACTTTTGGGAAGGAAATGAAGCTATCGGACAAAAAGCTCTTTAGCACTGAGGTGAGTTATTCTTGTATCTCTGAACAGGCTGATGAATTGGCACTAATTTCATAATTCCTGTATGTGCTGCTTTTCGCTCATGGTCAGAAAAGCTAACTTATGCCAGAAATCCAGTTGTCTGTTTCCAGGGGGAACACAGACACTTTGCGTTGAGACGTACTTGGTTGAAATAAAGACATGTCAATAAGTCAGAGTACAGATACACTTTTAACTTCTCAGTGACTACCTGTATGTGATTCTATAGGATTCCTGCCCACTTCAAAACATAGCTTCTAAAGACTTCAAAGCCTATTGAACTCAATAAAAAGAGCCTCTGATTAGACTTGGTATCAAATGCTTAATTCATAAAGCTTTGAATATGTAATTTTCCTCCAAAAGCTGGAGTGAGTTTTTGTGCATTTAGCATCTAATGGACTGTACTTAATCTTCTGACTTTCCGGTCTGGGCATAATAGCTCTAGCTTAATAACAACATCTCTACCCAAAGCTAGATGCTTCCTAAGTAAAGATGCATTCCTGTCAATCTAAACACTGAAAAAAGTTGAAATCTTCTTAAACCATATCCTTTGGAGACTGTTTCATGACTCCAGTCATTAGCATAACTACAGGAGGTCAATCTTGCAGCATGAGGCATAGATAAGAGAAACCTTTCTCTGTCTGATTTTACCTTGATGCTTTATTTTAACCTTATAGCTAGCACATCAGGGTACGGCTGATAAATTGCTGTATTGAGAGTTCTCAATATGAACTCAAAGTGAACAAATAATAAGGAACTCGTGATTAATTTTATTGGATAACTAATGAATTGCATGATTTGACTTCTCACAAAGTGTACAGCTGTGTGATTAAAAACTTAGGAGCATAAACCTAAACATAAAATCTAACAGGAAAAATGCATGTGATGTAATCAAAGAAAAATGCAATGTGATGCTTCCCTATATTAAAAATGGTTTAGATCAAGACATCACCAGATGCATGTTTGCTTACATAATTTTTCAGGAGCCGCTCCCCTCCCCAGAATGGCTGTTTAACAATTTTTTGATATGATGAATGCAGTACTTGCAAGAGGTCGGTGTCTAGGCTGGCAAAGTCCAGATAGATGGCAACGATGCAAAAGGTCAACTCTGATACCATCTTGCTTTCAATGCATCTATTAGAAATGTCTGAATAATCCTCTCAGCTAGCGCTTCTTTGGTTCATTCTTCAACGCATAGTTTCAGATTGCCTAATTTAAGGCAATCTTATAACTGTCTTTAGTTTGTACACAGAATCTCCACCGGAAATGCAATTTCGTCATTCTAGGTGATGAGAATAGATGTACATGATATTACTGTAGCTCTTGCTCTGTGTTTCCTATCATGTACATACATGATCATATTTATAGTATTTTTTTCTTGCAAACCCTGAGGCAGTTTATTTGTCTTTCAGTTTCCATTAATTCAAATTAAGTTGGAGACTTTGAGCACTTTATGACAGGCCTTATGAGTAATTCCTTGTTTAATATGACCTTTTCTGAATGACTGGTCTATTATATCCAGTCTGTTATGTCAATATAACCTGGTTGCATAAACGTGTGATTACCTGTCTCTGTATTAACATATGTATATGCAAGCATGCCTATAAATAAGATGTGCTTAGGTAAAATCATCCACTGTTATTTCCCTGGGGTAAACTCAACTAGACTATTTTCAGTATTCCTATTTCTTTTAAATACTAATAAAAAAAAGCAAGATGTCCTGATAATACATTTCCATAATAGCTAACAGAACAACTTTACTGGCTTAGGGTAGGTATATCATTGGATATAATGATTTCTGATAAGGGAAGTTTTTCAAAAGATGCTATGGATCACAAATATGTTTTCTGGAAATTTGAATCTTGCTATCTAAGAAAGGAGAATTGTTTGAGCAGCACATCAGGCTTTATGAAGTTACTTGCAATATGAAAACCTAGGGCTATAGTCCTGCAGGCACTTTAATATGTAAATAATACTCTGAGATCTCACTTGTTGGACTACATGCAGGAAGGAAATTACATCTCTGCCTAGATAGAGGCAATGATGGCACTATATCTTTACTTCTTGTTTGACCTCCTCTTAAGTTTGTCAGTATTATTCAAAAGAAATTGATTTATAAAAGGCAGCAATTGGAAATGGTAAAAATAGAAATTTGTACTGATTTTTTTTACAAACCATGGTTTCCAATGATAGTCATTGGAATTTATTTTGCTATGCATAAGATGAGTTTCAGTTGCTTGCTTTTGATGAGGTATCCTATTGTAATAGTTATTGTAGTAACCAAAAAGTAAATCAGGAGTCTCTACCAGAAAAATATTGTTGGAACTGCTGTGTACGTAAAAGCTGCATATCAGAAATATAGAGCACACTTCAGTCCTGAACTGTGCCTTTTTTATGTTTTAATTGCTTTTTTAGTTGATGTATGATATGTTTGATGTAGTTCTAAAAAAGATAAGTATCTGAACATTGTCAAAATATATTTAGGTTTATGCATGGACATTACCTTCTAGAGGTATAGAAGAATTAAGATAAAGACTTTTCAGCTTATCAAGGGGTAGAAGGTTTTAGTAATGAGTGATATTTAAAGAGATTATTCTGCAGTCTCTGAAGGCGAATACTGGAAGCCTAATCAGATGAGAAAGCTAAAGGCAGACTGAACAGAAGCCACTGGAAGAACATTGTGTTTAACAGCAGCATTAACTGAAAGAGAGAGCCAAGGCATGTCTGGGATTTTTAGTGGTGGTGTCCTCCATCCCTTGTGGAAGCATGTAACTAAAGCTGGAGGTACTGTGCTGAATATTTTACATTCTGTACCAAACTGATTTCAGGGTACATTGTATGTATATTGTTCCTTCATATTCTGGAAATAGATGCAGTCAAAATATACTAACAAATCCAAACTCATATTTCAAAACTTTTCTTGAGCTTAGGAAGCTCTGATTCTATTCTTGAATCCTCAGGTTTGGGAATTCTTGGTGCATTGATTCCTGTCCAAGAGATTGCAATTTCCTTGAGGAAAACCTGTTTCTTTTTCCACTGTTAATGAATTTTCCTTTTTTTTACAAGTTATCTGTTACTATTTCTCTGATTAAACTCAAACATCGAGGCTTATGAAAAGTCCTGAATTCATTCTTTTTGTAGAAAATACTGCTTTTTGTCACCTACCACTGCTAGCAACAAGTCCTATCTGGATTTCTGTAATTCTGTCTTTCAAGCTGAAACATCTATCCCGAAAGAAGAAATAGAGTCTGGGTTTTCAGTTGCTAGTGAAACAATGGGAGAAAAGATAGACGGAGGCAGAGGAAACAGATGAGACTTTAAGTATTTCTTTGGTTTAATTGATATTGACACTGTAGAAGTAATTTTAAGTGTCTATTTAGATTGCTAAAAAAAAATCAATAATTTGGGAAATAAAAAAGGATGTCGTACAAGATCTGCAGAAATATCACTGTAGGCTGTTTTGTTTGCTTACTGCAATTTTATTAAAATTCCCGCAGGCTAAGACAGTGCTACAATACAGTAATATCAGATTTTTATGCTCTGTTTTATAGCTGAGGTGTTCCAGAATGCTGTGCAGAGAAGGGATTATGATAGGACAAAACATAAAAAACAGTAATTCCCTCTTAACCTTGTGTATGTCAACTAAAACTTTAATTAAAAGCAAGCACTGGCCTCAAAGTTAGTTGAAAGTTGAAGAAGCCACCTTAATGCACTCAAAAATATGCCACTTGGGCACTTTCCCTTTAACTGTTCCTTCCTACTTATGATCACCAGCTAACTAGTTCTTTGTGTAGGTGTCAAACAGCCACAGCTTTTCTCTGTTAACATGCTTCATTAAAGGACTGCTACTGTGTAAAATCTGTTCACCTTTAGTTACCCTAATAACTACTGCTTTTGTTCAGTTTATATATTTAGCTGAAATGTATCAGTTGTTCCAGTTTCACAGCTGATGTGAGTTCCAGCAATTTTCCACAGTTCTCTGTGACAAGCATGCAAGTTCAAGAATGGTATTTTCTGCCTGAAGCATGTGTGCTTTCAAATAATTACAGCCTCTTCCTACTGTGTATAATACAAAACTTCAGTTAAAGCAGTTAAACACAGTATGGTGGAATTTTCTTTACAGTAGAACATCTAATTTGTCTTAAAAGCTCACTGAATTTTGTGAATTGGCAATTAAGTGAACAATTAGAATTAAAAAAAAACCCCACAAATAGATTTTTGCAGTGGGTTATTCTTACTTTGTTATTTTGACAATGGTACCCTTCGTTGTCATTCACTTTTGCTCTAGAACCTAGAGGAAAGACCTAACTTCTTCACCTTTGTCAGGTGACTTGGGAGGGATTTAAACAGTCAGTGGTGCCTCTTTTCAGAATGAGGGCAAAAGAAAGACCAGTAGGCTTCAGTTGTGTCTTTTGAGGTCTTATTTAATTAATTAAAAAATATAGTGAAGTTTATATATGTGTTTAGGGAAGGAATTTCTGAGATGTCAAGTCCAATATCTTTTCCCCTCCCTGCATGGGTAGCAAAGGCATTAACTTATACAGGGCTGAGGATGACTACTGATACCACAGCTGCATACAGAAATGGGCATTGAAGTGTTACTGAGGTTGCTGAAAGAATGGCAGCCTGTCTCAACTGTTGGTATAGCATTAGGTGTAGGACTAACTGGTATTCATTAAGAGCTCTGAGGAAATTTAAAAGAAAGATAGCTGGATTTCTAACAGCAGTGTACAATTTTTCAGTCCTGTAGTACTAGAAGGTGTAATTGTGATGCCAAAACCCAATTTCTCTGGGGACCTTGAGAACTAGAAGCAGGTTAATGTGTTGTCTCTACCAGACAAATTAATAGAAATTGTAATAAAATAAATTTTCTGCAATGTGAAGTCATGCTTTATAGATTTCTTACATTTTTCGTCAGCAAACCTGATCAAGTCAGCAGTTGAATGGGCATGGATAAATTACTGGCCAAAACCAGGAGGCAGACAGTTGGAAAAACCTTATGTTAGTGATACAAAGTATTCAGGGTAGTAAGGCAAAGGGCTAATTGGGAAGGAAAATGGGGGAAAGGCCTTATGAGATTTAGTAATTATGCAGTAAAATGTCAGATTATATTAATTGTAGGTGAAAAAAAAGTGATGCAAGTAGAAAAAGCAGTCCTATGTTGTCATACAAAATGAGAGGCTTTGAGCAGGCTATGTAGCACTGAGAAGTAAGTCCATGCAGTTCCATGATAACATCAACTTGTTGCTAGGCAGCAGATTAAAAAGCAAATGAAATACTAAGAAATATCAGAAAAGGGATAGAGAACAAAACAGGACATAATTATGACAATGCATAAATTACATGGTTCACCCACAAGTTGAGTATCATGTGCAGCTCTTCTCCTGTCATCTCAAAATAGTTGTATTAAAGCTGAAAAAGGTTCAGAAAAGAGCAGTGGGGGTGATAGATTTGATTCTCTATAAGGCACGATTGAGTAGACTGGAGCTCTTCAAGAAAGGAATTCTAGGAACGAGTAAATCTGTAGAAGTGCGGAGATGGCAGACAGGGATGGAAAATAAGATGAATTGGGGACTATCAGTTGAACCTAGCAGGAGCCACGTTCAAAACAAACTAGAGGAAGCACTTCTTTACACAGTGGGTAGTAAAGACTGCCAAAAGACCCTGAGGGTGCAAGAAGCTGATGGTGCCTGGGGCAGGCTGGATGCATACTTGGAAAAGCGATACGCTGCGTGCTGATATATAAACAAATCACTACACACAAACCCACAAGTGATTAAAAAGTAGAGTATGAAGGCAGAGGGAGGTATTGTTTATGCTTGATTTCTTTTTTTGTTGTTGTATGTAACTTGTGGCCACTCTTAGAATACAGGACTATGCTGAAATGATAAACTGACTTCAGTTTAACTTTGTCCCAGTTCTCCAAGGTGAAAAGTAAAGTCTGTGATAAAAATGAATATAATGCTATTTCAGGTAAATCCTAAAAAACTTTATCCAACACATTCATCTTTAAATTCTCTGATTTTTTATTATAGGGTAAGCCGATTTTTACATCTCTGGTAGTCATGTGAATTTTCAGAAGTGTCTTTTAATGTGAAAACATAGCACCATAAACCTATAAAAATATTCCATTCAAATTAAAAATATTCCTAAAGCATTAAATAATACACACATAAGCAAAAGCATGTCTTGGCTGTAGAATTTTCTTCCCCTTGCAAGAAAATTTATTTCTCGATAGAACTAAAGTGCTTTAAAATCCCTCTGCCAGAAAAAAATTAGATTTCTCAGTTATGCTAAAGGCTCCTTTATTAAAATATGTATGTGAATTGTAAAAGTGTTAGTTGAAGGAATTGTTCTTTGGATGCCAGTTCTGTATCGGCAGTTTGATAACTGTTATTCCGTAGCACAAAGGACTTTTGTAAAAGGTGGTGGAAGGTGTACTATAAAAGCAAAACTGTTCTTTATGAAAACTTTGTTTCCATATACAGATAGCCATTTGGAAGAATTTCCTACTCTCCTTCACTGTGCAGCCAGATTTGGATTAAAGAACCTTGCAACATTTCTACTCAGTTGTCCTGAGGCCATGCAGGCTTGCAAAATAACCAACAAACATGGAGATGATCCAGCAAGTATTGCTGAGAAGCACGGGCACAGGGAACTAAGAAAATTATTCAAAGAATTGTCGGTAAGTCCATATGCCTTTTCATATGTCGTCTATAACCAGGGGACTATGATGTACTGCTGAGATCCCATAGTATCTCCTCTTGTAAAGCCTAATATCTTGTAGTAGTTCTGTCATAAAATATTATACTCCTGCTGTCTCAGAAAAAGGGTCTAAATGAGGTACAGCCAATTTCTTTGTGCACTGTCATAATAGAGATCAGAGGTTTTGCCCTGCTTGAATTTTAGGGATGTAATGGAAGGTGAAAAAGTGAAGCAGAAGTACCTCATGTGGCCTAGCTACACTGGTGCTTTCAGTGCCCAAACAATGGCTATGTTGTAAGTAGTAGTAGTGCCCAACTGTCTAGAGTAGGAGACAAAGACTTCTTTAAAAGTCACTTTAAAAGTGACTCTGAACTCTTTAACTGTTACCACTCCACAGCATTCAGCAGAGTAGTTCCCCTGTCTTGGCTGTCTGCTCCATGTGAAGGGAGGCTAAATTTTACCACCCTGTGTTACAGGGAGTAAATCTTTCTTCAGTTGGTTATGCAGGAGGGGTTTGGAGCGATGAAAGATAATTTCCACATGAAAGATAATAATAGAACAAAGGTCTGTGCATAGTTCTAGTATGCAAACTATTGCCAGTAAAATCTAACAGAACTGGCAGTATAAAAAGCAATATACTGTAGTAACATTTGAGAGCTTTAATTGATTTTAAGTCCTTATTGTGCTAACTATAATATAAGCAGAGATGATAATTCTTGCTCCAGAGGTTTTAAAGCCTAGAGAAACAAATCAGGTAAATCATGTATTGAAAGAAAGACAGGATGTGAACCTTGGTATAAGTAAGCCTATGTTGTGGAGACTTAGTGCAGCTTTGCTGATGGTCTGATTATTTTTTTTTTTTGGTGTCAGATTCCATGTTCACAGATAAATGGTAACAACAGACATGTAAGAGGAGAAAATACAAGGAATGAGAAAGCCAGAAGTTTCACTTTTCTGTTAACTAGTCATCTTGATGTAACCATGGATAGACATAAGACCAGAGATGGCATTTGAAGAAATGTAAGATAATAGCTGTGTAGTTTATGTAGGGGAGAATGTTTTGCATGACTGAGGAGGAACATGCAAGAAACCTGCTGGTAGTTAAAGGCAGAAAGATATGAAGAATGGAAACACAGGCTGACTGAGGTTAGTTATTAAAATTCTAGAGTAAGGACATAGGGATTGGTCAAGTTTTTTCTTTGATATAGTTGGCATCTCATGTAAGAGTGAAGGAGAGGCACTAGGAAAACCGAAGATAAGTTTACTGCGATCACTGTTGAACCATGAAGATGCGTTTTGCAGTGTTTTATGAGCGGATTATTTTTTTTCAGGGTGTTCAAGGGAAAGAAATTTGCAAAAATTGGAGAGCCTGAAAGTAAGGCATTTTAGCAGTGGTCAAGATACTGAATCAGAACATGCTATTTGACTTGTTATTGAACAGCTATTGATACAGGCTGTAAAAGCACTGAGGGTGGCAGTATATCTGCAAAGCAGGTATTTCTTGTTTTCTAATACTGTTAAAGAAAGTTCCTACCTAATTGAGGATGTGATCTGATGTCTTTTCTGAAGTGACAGGGAATCTTTCCAGAGTTTACTTGACAATGAATCTGATCAGATCTCAAAAGCACTGCAGAGCTTGTTCTATTGATGAAGTGCAGACCTGATGTACCACAGAGGTGATGTTTTTTCCTCAGTTTTTGATACTGTAGTCGAGATGAAATTTAACTGAAGAAAATGTGGTCCCCCTTACCATCTAGTATAAAGCTGTCCACAAAACCAGGCTGTTTTCCTGGATCAACATGTTAGTAATTTCACATTTAACAATTTCTAATTGTCATAGTTGACTCACAGTTGTCCTTTTACTGGTCAGAGAGTAAGGGGCCTCTGTAAGAGGAGACATAAGCACATATCGTACAGGCAGACTACAACTGATATACATTGAGAGAGTACATTGCACTTCTATAGCCTTTTTACATTTTGGGGGACTTTGTCAGTGACAGAAGGCAGTATTTGTGAGGGTGATATATTTCACTCTCAAAAGCATGCAAAGCACGGGCATACCTCTGATTAGCTTTTCTTTTTTTAGTAGGATTATTAATTGTCCTAGTAAAATCTTAGTATAAAATTACCAATCTAAAACAGGGATTTATAATAGTAACACTGACTTTATACAGTGTAATTTTTCACTAAAACAGTTCCTTCATGGTACATATCTGCTATTGTTTGCACATAAACAATTAACGATGGTCATTCTCTGCTCACAATGACTGTTCGCCCAAGTGTGAATACTTACACCAGCACTGAAGTAAAAACAACTCTACAACCATCCTAAGCATGTGTAGTCTGGTTAGGACTTGCAGTTGTACTACCCATTTTGAGTTTATTCAAATGGCGTGGCTTACTAATCCAACACAAGTAAAAATTGGAGCATGCTTCAAGTCTGCTCAATGTGTAATACGGTATTTCAGAAATGTTAGTTCCAACCACTGGAAGAAAAATGGCTTATTTGTGTCCTCTGTAATAGTGCACTTAAGAACAAAAACACTTACTGTACTTCTGTAATTTATGGGAATGTGGAAAAGAAATATTTGCGTGGCTCTGAGCCAAGCAGAATTTATTTTAACCATGTTCCAGGAACTTCCTGTTACAGCTGGAGTACTGAAATTGCTCATTATTACAATAGAAGTACTTTTGTACTTGGCATACCTCTCACTGTTTTAAAATTGTTACCTGTGTTTTGCCATTCCTTTAAGGAATAGCCCCAAATATACATAGTAATTCATCACTTCTATCTTAGAGCAATAAGTTTCTGGAAAAATGGGTGTATAAAAACATATGTTCAATTTGTCCAAAATCCTGGAAAGCATCTTTCATTTGCCCTTGTGCAGGGGAGTAAGAATTCCCTGAGGTGGTTAGAGAGAGCGAGCAGCAAAAGAAGTGGCAACACCACAGCTACTGTTTCTACCTTCAAGCCCAGGGCTTTGCTGTCCAGCCCTCTTTGGTGGCTGGTGAGCAGATGCGTGCTCAGGGCTTTTTTGGTGACGCAACTTTGCTGGTAATGCCCTTCAGCTCCCATGTCCAGCAGTCTTACTGGAAAGGTGCTCAGGGCTCTGTTGGCAAAACTGAGCTGTAGGAGCCGGCTAACTTGCACAATGGGTTGGTCTGTATGGCACAAGTTCCCTGTCCTTGTTTAAAGGGAAAACCTCTTCTGGAACTGGACACTGACAGTGTTGATGTAGGGAGTGTTACAGCCACAGAAGGAAGACCTGGAGTGTCTGGTGGGCAGCTCATCTCCTGATTTGTGTCAAAACAAAGCACAAAGGAAGGATCACATAACATGTGGCTTCTGTTGATACAGCTATATGAAGGGGGGGGGGGGGGGGGCG